GGAAGACCAGCCTAGCTGCCTATCATGGAAAAACGCGTATCTTCGGATCCTGAAAGAAATCAAAGTAACCATCAACCTTAGAAAGACTCACTTCAATATATGAAAACCAAACACCAAAAGCAGTCACAAACCTACGAGCATGCTTCCATAGCCTCCAATATCTCTTCAAGCACAAAGACCAAAGAACAAAATGAAGTTAAAAGAAAACTAAGGAACCCGATAGGGAAAACTCTAGCACTAGGTACAGGAATTGTATCACTGCTCCCAAAAGCAGGAATCAGAGGAACAATGTGTCTATAAAATTATAAAGAAGGGATAAGAATTATTATTACGATTATAATTAAAACCAGGAGGAATATTTAATAATACAAACTAAGGAAAGGCTGGAAAGTAAGAGCCTTAGTTTCCTTATAATTTAAGCAATTCTAGATTCTAGAACATAAACCACATTTTCAGAATATAAACCATTCCAGATCAAATGTAAACCACATTTTCAGAATGCAAAAATAAAAAAAAAATATAAAAACTATAATTGAAGCAATGCAGCAATATTGGACACAATGGCCCATTTATTCATATTTACTTAAAATTCAGATTCGGTTCCACAAAGAGGGAAAAGAGAGTATGCTACCATTTTTCAAAGTAATTTCTTACTATAATGTATGGTCATAATGCCTTTCTAAGGGAATGGCTGCCTATGTTACACTAATTCCAGAGGCATAGGTTTATGTTTTCCAAAGAGTAGACACCGGAGCCAGAGTGTCACAATTGTGCGCATTCACATAGTGGAAGTTAACTGAGGAAAAGAAAAATAAACAAACATTCACTAAGACAAAATCACAAACACCTAGAGTGCTTCAGAATTTTTAGATAGTTAGGTGGAAGGATTCCAAATATTTCTAGTTTTTTTTTACTTTTCATATTATCTAAATGAAGATGCAATGAATTTGGCATCAAAATAGACAATTGAAGAGAAAATCAAGTAAAAGAAGAAACTCTAACTCTAGGCCCAAGGACGAAGAATTAGGTACTGCTACAAGCTCAGGTGTCTCAAGGAGAGTGTTAGTTAGCCTGCACCTACTTAATGCCAAATTAGGTCCAGTTAGATCTTGTAAAAGCTTCTACTCTTCAAGGTCGAGACCGTTGAACTATGATAGGGTTATTGGAACTCCCAATTAATAGGCAATCAGATTAAATTTGTGAAAAGAAAAGGGAATGGCATGAACAAGGAAAATGAAACAAAATGGACAGAAAATTATGCAAAATAAAATTACCAGGGAGGCTCGGCTCATTTTTCATCTCCCGCCGTTGTACTGTTCAATCACCTGTGCGTCTATATCTTGTGAGTTGTGATTTCATTTTCGGAGTTAGATGGTTTGGGAAAAGCATAACTGTCTTCAACCAGAATGAGAGCTTTGAGAGTTTGAGAGTGGGCAGCCATGGCGCAACGCCGGTCTCCTAGACTTCATTGCATATCGTTGGGCGTCTTCAGTGGAAGACTAGCAAACCCTATAATATCTAACCAGATCTACAAGCGCTAATAAGCCCGGGTCATAGCTCTAAACTTCTTAAATTAATTAGAGGTAGTTTGGCAGCATTGATTTTAGGCTTATTAGACTTATCAGTCAACTTTTTCACCAAACACATAATTTTTGCTTTCGCGCGCTAAATTGTGTAACAAGCAGAAAAATTAAGGTTGGAGTTACTTTTCTGGTTGTATTGGTTGAAGTTATTGTAGATGACCATTTTAGCTATTTTACATTTTTTTTTCCTTATTTTATTAATAAAATATAGTTTAAAAATATTTTTTTCTTAAATCAGCAAAATCAGCCAATGCAGCCACTTCAGCCAGAACTTCATAAATTTTCAGCAGAATCAGCCAAATCAGCCGATTTTCGTGTTATCAAACGGGCTCTTAGTCTATCCCACTTTTAAAAGCTAATAAGTATAAATTAAATTTAGTTAGGCTGAAATTTTAATAAAAATATAACGCTATTTTTCCCGCTTTACACGTGTTACATTAGTGTCCATCAAAGGTAACACCGATTGAGCAAATGTAACTGTTTATTAAATAGTATACTAGCGTTACAATAGCACTATAGTAAATGCAACACTTTTGATATAGATGTAACAACGTGTTAAAAACTATTACATTAGACTCGTTTTTTGTAACACTTCAGACAAATGTTACATTTTTTTTGTTACATTAGACCTGAAAATGTAGTAGTGATTGTACTATACTGGTAAAATTATCATAATCACGGTTAGAACTAATCCTTATTTAGTATCTCGCAAAGCTTTTGTCCAGAACTAGTCCTTTTCTAGTTTCTGGGCACGATGATAATATTGTTCAGTGGAAAATTTACAATCTCAATCGTACATATATTACAATGTAATACATAACACTGATATAGTTTCATTGAAAGTTTGTATCTAATTTATAAAATACCTCATTATTGTTAGTTGAGATACGAATGGTTGCACAAATACTACGTCTGGACCCGGTTGATATATAGGTATGTGGTAGTGATGCCACGTTACACGCATCGCGCAGACCTTGTATGGAATGATCCTACATCCATGGATGAGAAGTTGAGGTGTATAACATATTGTTCAAGGCCGTACAAAAACGTCCCACGTCAACCTGGAGTGATAGCGTAGCTGAAGGCCTCCGGATTTTATGGCGTCGACACCATTGGAAGGTTGCAGTTAGACTGGGCACTTATAACGGCATTGGTTGAGAGATGGGGATCAGACACACACACTTTTCATATGCCTTTTGGTGAGGTGGGCGTCACCTTACAGGACGTAGAGGTATTGTTGGAGTTGTCCGTGGGTGGAGAACCACCGTCCGGACCTAGGACGAATTTGGAGGCGGTTTGGATGCAAATGTGTGCAAACCCCGCCGGTTTCATTCCCTCCAACAAGGACATAAAACATCTGTAATAAGAATGAAAGTCATACCACGTTGGCCGGTACATTAGCATCGCACCAATGAGGAACTAATCACATACACAAGGATACTCATTTTGGCAATTACTAGGCGGATTATTGTTCCCTCCAATAGTGGAAACTATATCAAATTGTAGTTTTTAGAGCTATTGTTGGGATCTATCGGGGATGCACGACAATGGAGTTGGAGCTCACCAGTATTGGGATACTTGTATCACAATATATGCAATGCCTCAAACTTCTAAAAGTAAACATAAAACAGTTAAGTAGCTTTTTTCAAGCAGTTCTTTTTTGGATTTTTCAGATCGATCTAGATTCTTATCTGTATTTATATAGTACTCCCTCCGCCCCTTTTTATTTAGTCAAATACTGTTTTCCAAGTCAATGATGTGTAACTTTGACTGATTATATATTTAAACACGGTAATATTGATAATATGAAAATGGTATGAAAATGTTCTTCATTGAAAGTACTACCATAAAAATATAAAATTATTAAGTTTTACATAAATATATTAGTTAAAACAATGGATCAAGGTTTATCATCTTTGACTGGAAAAGTCAAAGATGGCTAAATAAAAAGGGACGAAGGTAGTACTTTATTTATCTAGTCAGCAGGGAAGAAATAGTCAAAAGCAACATATGTGGTATACAAGATGAATAAGTGTGGACAAAGGAGTTGAATTATCAAAGCATCCATATCCACTGATAACTACTACATCTGTCCCTCAATTAAAGTCTTAATTTAACTTTTGAGTCAAATTTGTTAAACTTTGACTGTTAATTACTCAAAATTAACAATATTTTATCACAAAAATCAATTTTATATCCTTCATTGTAATATGTATTATTCAACAGGCAATTTATTATAGTTTTTTTTTCGATTTGTGCGTGTCATCCTTGCGCAGAGGTCATGCTAATCTTCTCTGTATCGTTCCAATTTTATCAGATGTCCCCAAAGGAACGATAATTTATTATAGATTATATAGAAATATATTTATAGGTAATTATGATCAAACATCTGCCCAGTAGAGCGTACAATCAAACTAGGCCTTTGATTGTGGGATGGATGGAGCAGAAGTCACTAGGCAAACTAGAGATTTTGTACATTTGAGCTATGTCAGCGGGCCAAATTTCACCCTTAAGGCCCCTCCTCGCCTTGTGAGAGGTGTTGACTTCAAGTCATCAAGTAGGTGAATATGAAAGACTTTTCCCAAATGATGATCCTCTAACGTCGGGACTAACTCGATTAGTCACACAATCAACACTTATCACGTATCAAGCAATATTGTGAAAGTTAACTTCTTACTAAGAACAAGCTGACAATCAATAAGTGAATGACAGATTTTGGAATTTTAAAATAGAATTGTTATGTGCTAAGTTAGCACAGGAGTCGTGCTAGGAACTTCAAGACATGCACAATCAATAATTAAAAAGTAATTTCTTGTGCGCGGTGGTAAAAGACGATGGAATGAAAGTATAAGGTCATTTGAGCAATTCGAATTTACTTGTCTTGAGAGTTTGAGGTGAGTTTGTAAGAGTTCAATATCACTCTGATGTAGTAGTTTCGTGATCACATGGTGTTAATAAATAATGGAAAATTGCCCTAAATAGGTGTAAACAGATTTTGTAATTCAGTAATAGGTCTGCTAAGTTTTTCTTCTGAAATAAGAGTCGTAACTGCTATGATTGAAAAATATTGTCATTAATAATAGTAAATATTGTCACGTTAAATTCTTGGCACTGCAATTATTTGGCAATTATGACTACAAGAAAACCGTAAATACTGTCATTTACTTTTATTTTGGAAGAAAAACATAACAATTCTATTTTAAAATTCCAAAACCTGTTTAGCCGGATTTCCGGAATTTGACTTGTTAATTGGATTTTTATTTGAACTGGTCAATTGCCTCTTCTTTTGTGGTATCTTAGATCTAATCAACATAACCAGCACACGATATCACAGATCAATGACCAAAATAATACTCTAGACTTTCTATTACAAATAAGACATGTTCTCAAATTGGACAAAAAAGAGACTTAATATTACAAACTGGACTGAAATACCCTTCTCCCGTCCTTTGAAATATCTTCGCCTTCGACCTTCCTGCAGCGTACATCTAACACCCCAAGCAGAGCCACAGATCCATAGCCGCACCTCCAAAGTTGCTTCTCCATCATCGTGCCTCCAGAGCTACACCTCCATCGCCGCGCCTTCATCACTGCAATCTAGAGCTGCGCCTCTATCGGCACAAGCCATATCCGAACCACCATCGCCGCAAGTCATCTTCTTCTCTTCTCCGAGATCTACAGTCGCTTCTAATGGGCTGTTGCAATGACGACGATCTTCACCTATCCTGTAGGCTAGGGTTTCTACTGCGTGAGATTTTGGTGCTAGGGCGAGGTCAATGGGCTGGCGGCTAGGGGTTATGAGCAGTGGTTGTTGATGGCGGTTGGGGGCTAGGGTCGGGGGCTGCCAGTTGGAGGGTTGGGTGCTACCAGTTGGGGCTTGGCTGGGGCTGGTCTGGTCGGAGTGGGGCAGCACTTGTGGGCGTGGGGCGTAGCTAGGCTGATAGGTGTGGGGCAGGGCTTGGCTGATGCGGGTTGGGATGCGGTGATGATGGTGGGGCAGAACTCTGCGTGTGGTGGAGGAGCGGGTGGCAGCGGTCAATATTGGGTGGTGGTGGTGGTCAATGTTGGGCATCAGTGTTCACCGAACCCCTATCAACGGTGGTGATTATTCGGGCAGTGGTGTTCACCAGAATCGGCAAAAATACCGAACCGACATGATACCGAACCGGACCGGTATGGTACCGGACCGATAAACGGGGTTTGAAACGGATCTCAAAATTTTTTGTCCCGAACCGAACCGGTTCCAAATAATGCCATGACCGGTCCTCATAAAATGAGAACCGGTACCGAACCGAACCAGACCGAACCGGACCGAAGTGTGGTTTATTAAATTTGTACTACTATAGTTTGTCTAAAATATATTAATTACCTCATCCGTCCCAAATTGATTTGCAAAGCCAACTTTTGTTTGTCAAAGTTGATGTTAAGTTCTTGATAATTAATACAATTTTGAATAATTAAAATTTACATATTTAGAAATCACATTAAAATCGGGATAAGGGTCAGTTTGGTCCTCGAAGTTGCAAAAAAGAGGTCAAATAAGTCCTTATATAGAAAATTCTGTCCGGACGTGCCATTTGAGGTGGCTTCCAGTGGAATTTTTTGATGAAATTTTTTGAGCATCTGATTCATTAAGTCTAGTTTACTCATACCAAATTTCAGATAAAAATTCAATCGGGAAGACATTCAAATGAATTCTTGAAGATAACTGTGTCGTTAAAAGCGCTGTTATCTTCAAGAATTCATTTGAATGTCTTCCCGATTGAATTTTTAGCTGAAATTTGGTATGAGTAAACTAGACTTAAGGAATAAGATGCTAAAACATTTTCATCAAAAAATTCTACCGGGAGCCACCTCAAATGGCACGTTCGGACAGAATCTTCTATATAAGGACTTATTTGACACCTTTTTTGCAACTTCGAGTACCAAACTGACCCTTTACTCCATTAAAATCTCTCTAAAGTTGCAAAATCCAAATTAAAATATACGAAGTACGGAGTAGTTTTTTGAAAGGCCAAATTAGAATATAATTAAAAAGTGAAATTCCAATTAAGTGAATAAAAAGAAATTGTTTGACCAAAAAAAGATTGACTTTGCAAATCAATTTGGAACGAAGGTAGTATGATATATGAAAATTGATAAATTGTGTGGATTTTTGGAGGATGGCTAAACTTTAATTTTTTCTTAAACACCTGGAAAAGTGGCATTGTTTGGTATTGGTATGACATGGTACCGTCCCGTTTGAAAATGGACCGTACCGAACGGGTTTGGGTCTAAGACCGAACCGTACCGAACCGTTTCGATAGTAACGGTACAGGTACGGGTTCGGCCAAATATTGGACCGGACTGGACCGTGCCCACCCCTACCAGAATCATTATCGATGACAAGGATCATCGGTGGTGACAACAATGATATGTAACTTTCACTAGTGAACGAATAGATAACTGGAAAAATGTAACTGTCACTAATATAATTGTAATTAATCTAATTGTAATGTTAGTCAATATTATAATATTGGTCACTGTCACTGGGCACACGAGTCATTATCACTGGATATATGTGTCACTATCACTGGGCATACTTGTTACTGGTCACTGTGACAATAGTTGAAATTGGTCACTGCACCTTTGGTCACTATAACGGGTTACTGTAGCAGGTCTGTTGGATTTGGGCTTTGTAAGGGCGTAAAAAAAGGGTGTGACGGGTTACTGTAGCAAGTCTGTTGGACTTGGGCTTAGCAGGTCTATGTTAGGCATGGCAATGTGTCGAGGCGGGTCCGCCCCGCCCCGTGACCTGCACGGGTCCAAATTTGTTGACCCAAATGACCCGCCCCATGTGGGGCAGGTCCGCCCCGCCCCGTCACAACCTAATTAGCTAGTATGTATTTTTATTTGTGGGAAGTTGTTACCAATTGAATTTACATAATGTTTATCTCTAAATAATAATTAAAAAACAATATATTAAATCAAAATCATGATATGCTAAAAATTTCAAAAATTAAGGAAAAAATACTCAAACTTGAATAGTTAATAATCTAATTAGTTATATTAATAATGGGATATATGTATTAAAAGTCTATATATAAAGAAGACATTGATAATCCGTTGTGCATCTCATTCTAATATATATTCATATATTATAAGATCAAAAAATTTATGATTTATTGTATACACACATATGTATGTCGAAGTATATTTGTAATATAATTTAAGAAAAAGAATGTATACTTATATATTGAGCGGGTCGGGTCGGGGCGGGGCGGCACGGGTCAATTCTAATACACGGACCCGCCCCATTGTATAGGCGGGGCGGGGCAGACCCGCCCCATTTGCGAGACGGGCGGACCCGCCCCAAATGTCTCAGGCCAGAGCGGGTCATTGCGGGTCGGGTTTTTTGACATCCCTAGTCTCTTGGCACCCTTTACTATTTTTTAGTCACATTTTTGGAACATAAAAAAGATCACTTTTTTGTCCAAATCTCTTTTTTTAGTAATATTTTAGAGATAACCCCTGTTAGGAGGCGCTCATAAATAAACAAAATTAGGGAGGCATACTCATAAATTAACAAAATTAAGGGGCTTAATCGAGCTTGAATACTTGCCTGCTGCCCTGCTTTTTTATATATCAACCCAAATGCTCGAGAACCTTTGTTGACAGTCGCGACTTTCCCACTCTCAAGTCGAAAGTCGAAACCTCAACGCACAGCTAACCCTATTCCCCTCTCCTCTTTTAGCATAGAGAGGTAGAGGTAATCGTCTCGAACTCGTATCTCTTTTCCAAACCGTCTCATTTTTCATGCATTATTTCGCCTGATACATTCGTCTTTATTTTACAGTTCACAGCTTGTTTGATCTGGGAGATTTGGATTGTCGTGCCTGCGGAAATGGTAGCTATACTGTTTTTACCCCTTCTGAAACTAGGGTTAAGGGTTTTCAGATTCGTTACTTTATTTATTTATTTATTTATATACAGAGATGTGTTTGTTTAAAGTCCTTCATAGTTTCTTTGTTTGTTTCTTCTATCAGCTTCCGCTTTCTCTCCTCAAAACAGCCCAGGGGCATCCCATGGTATGCTTCACATCTGTCACTTTTTTTACATTAAGACCCACGCTAGCGCATGTGTTAATTCTCTAATTGTATATGTCTACTATCTGAGTTGCTTCGGAATCTTGTTTTGTTTTTCAATACTCCCCATTTGTTGTTGCAGCTGGTGGAACTCAAGAATGGGGAAACTTATAATGGGCATTTGGTAAATTGTGATACTTGGATGAATATTCATCTCCGGGAAGTCATCTGTACTTCGAAGGTACTTTATCATATGCTTTTGACGGAATCTTTATAATGCTAACAGTTTCTCGTATGCATTCTGAAAAATAGGCTTATTTTTTAAATATTCATGGTGCAGGATGGAGATAGGTTTTGGAGAATGCCAGAATGTTATATTCGTGGGAACACAATTAAATATCTTCGGGTTCCAGATGAGGTTAGGAAACTCCCTAAATTTTCTAGCCATTATTATTTCTTTATACGTGGTATTTGTTTACATGTATTCTAATGTATTTGAAAACATTAAATGGACTTGCTTGAACTTATAAATCTCGAGGATTGTGCTGATTATGAGTTCCTACCTATTAAACATCTTTATCAATACTGCTCACCCCCTAATCTGTCTTCTACGTTATGTAATTCACACATGTAGTAAGTTAATAATTTATTGATCAAACACTAATCTTTAATCATCCCCGTTGTCCAGACAAGTTGACAACCATGTAGTCATATTCTACTTCCTTATTAGTTTTTTGCTACCAATGTTCCATGTTTTAAGGAGATTACAACTTCTTATGGGCTATTGTAGTGTTGAGTGATGAGAGGGGTCTAATTGATGGGTCTTAAGAAGTTGTAGTAGTGTGAATTTTCTTGGAAAGCATTTTTTTCTGGGATGATGCAATTTAGCCAAAGCAGACATTGATGTGCTCCTAAGGGTGTTGTGATTTCACTACCTTTAGTAGAAGTGCATCCCTCTGAAGAAAAAACAGAGAATGGTTTCTTTCTGACCAGAACTTTCCTCATGCAATTATTCTCTCTTAGTGTGTAACTGTTGCTAATTCTGTGAGTCCTCACATAATTATTTTATTTAATTTCTATTAATAAATTATTATAAGTCTTATGTCAATGCAGAAAACTGAGACTGGATGATTTCTAACAACAGCTTTCCAAATACAATCAATTTATTTAAATTTCTATTTACAAATTCACTTAACTGTATCTATGAGTTGGATTTCTCCACATATGTTTTCTAACTACATTCTCATTACTAATGGCATTTTTTGGCATGTCACCAGGTGATTGATAAAGTTCAAGAAGAAACAAAAAGCCGAACAGGTAATATGGATTTTTGCAAATCTAGTTTTGCCCATTATCAGCACTGCTATGACCCCCCATTGCATCCATACTAGGGGCATGGATTTACAGAATTAAGTGGATTTCAATTAAAAAAGACAAGAAAATGGGAAGTCAGCTTTTGGAAAATTGGGTTTGGTTAAGTTTATGTTTTTAGCAGCGCAGATAGTCTATATTATCATTCTGTTAATATTTATAAGATCTGAAAAGGACATTATCGTGTCTAGATTTGCTTGAGGGATAAACATCAACAATACAGTACAAATATACTATTTCAACCAATTTGGGAGAAAGCATAACATAACATGAAGTATCCAATAACTAGCCATCCATTCTTTATTTCTCTATGGTCCATTGTCCATACACTGTTTAGCAGCTTAATAATATGAAAAGAATACTACATCTGAGCATTTCAAATGTAAGAATTCTTCAAAGAACTTTTCAGTATGCTATTGTTAAACTCTACTTTTTTGGTATATATGGTTTCAGACAGGAAGCCACCTGGTGTAGGGCGTGGCAGGGGAAGAGGTAGAGAAGATAACGTTGCTGGAAGACAGGGAAGAGGAATTGGGCGTGGGATGGATGATGGAGCTGCCAAAGGCCGGGGAAAGAGTGGCCCTGGTGGCAAGCCCAGTGGAAAAGGTATGAAAATAATTCATTAAGTCATTCGACTTTTGCCCGATTTTTTTGTGAACAGGTATGTATTTTCTGCCATTTTATTCCCTTTTTGTCACTTATCTGTGAAAGTTTGAAAGTGCAAGTACATTGGACAGATAAGTGGTTGGACGAACATAAAGTTGTATGAATTCCATAGCGATGCTCGGGGGGAGTTAAAAATAATAACAATCAATGGATTTGTTTTATTTTATGGGCAATGTAAAGCCAGTTAAAGAATGAAGTTAAAAATAGAACAGGTTTATCTATGGTAATTCTACATTCTGTTCAAAATATTTTTGTTTTGCAAGTTCCAGTGAAAAATCGGCATTTTATTCACACATCTTACTCTACTCTAAGTTAGTAAAGCACAACACTAAACCACAGTTTTATCTTTTGGACTTTATTGAAACAAATAGTCCAATGGTTGGATTGATCTAATAGTTCCCGAACCAACTTAGTTCAACAATCCTATCTTTATTCATCATTTCATTCATAAAGTGGTCTCTTTCAAAAACCATCTCTCTATATAGATGTGGAGATGCCAATGAGCTCTGAAATGCATCCCTGCTTTTCCCCCAAGACTATCAAGTCATTCCAACCTATTGCTCTGTAGAGTTGATTGTAAATTAGTCAGTCTAGGTGAAGTAGATGGCCTCTATTTTCCTAATTGCATGTATGACTATGGATTGTTTTGTTGACAGTTGGAGGTCGCGGGCGAGGCTAATAAGTTTGAAGGGTCCATTGATAGCCAGGATTGCCTGCCACTTGCAACACAGAGGGGCATGGTAGGCATGTTAAAGTGTGTGGATTGAAGAAACATCTCATCTCTTATCCTGCTTCCTCTTATGGTTGGAGAATCATTAATGAAAATGTATTTTGGGTTATTCCTTTATTGTATTGTTGTCAATTGTCATTAATATTTGTTAGTGGGATGGAATGTAACTAGCCTTTTTAAAAGTGTTTTAACTTTGTGAATTCCATTTGTGATAGTGGGACTGGAAAGTGACCTACACTCTAGACTGATAGTCTGAATTCCAATTATTAAAATTTTAACAATTTTAACATGGATGTGAATTCCATCTCGATCTGTCATAGTTAACATGATCAACAATTTTATGCCGCTCCTTTGAGGTTGACGGTCTCAAATTCAGAACATTGATCCTTTGTCTGAGGCTGGAATTTTTGTTGGTTCACGTGGTTGTTAAAACACCCACAATCAAGTTGTCACATACGTCTCAAAGCACGTTTTTTTTGTGTGTGTGAAGTTTTAAAAACAGGTGTCAAGATTAAGAACAAGAATATAGAACTTTATAATACGTGGCAAATGTCAAGTTTCAATTTTCAAATATCAAATTATGTTCTAAAAGTGAAATATGATTCACCCACAATTGTGAATGTCCTTATCGTTGTTATTTTGATATTGATTTTAATATAAAGCATTTACCATAAAAAATAAAGATTTTGTTACATTCTCCCAGTGTATTCCGGTATTCCCAGTGTTTTTTTAGTATACCATAAAAAAACAATAATTAGTAGTCCAATGAATTAAAAACAGTCACGCTATCACAGAAACCAGACAACAAAGGAGACAGCGAAAGCAGAACTGACCAAATATATCTGTTAAAACTTAGCAACAACCAAAGTTTGTCTTCTTGTTTCTAATCACAGAATATATCTCATCACTTTCTTCTTCTATTCCTTTTGAGATGTAAAAGCTAAAATAGTTAAACCGCCGGATGCAGAAGATTTGTGATAGCTAGAAATTATAAAGAGTTGTTTGGTGATGGGTGATATAAAGGAAGAGGAGCAGCATGGCATCAAGGATACTGAAGAAGAAGTAGCAGAAATGGATAAAGAAGAAAAACCTCTTGAGAAGACGAAGCGTTTGGCCTCTCTGGATATCTTCCGAGGCCTTACTGTTGCGGTAAGTGTTCCACTTATTTGATACTTGTAGAGATGAGGCAGATAAGTATGGTAATTCAAGAGTGGTCACACCCTTATTTTGGTGAGATTATGGATGTTTCTCATTAAAATTTATGGTCAGAAGACTCCGAACTATTGTTGAAGTAGTTTATTTAAGTTTTATTTAAGGAGTGTCTGCAGTTGATTAAAAAAAGCACTTTTCAGCTTTTGGCTTAAAAAAAGTTAAAAAGAGTGTTTTCAAATGACAGCTTCTGCTTAAATTAATCACTTAAAAGCTAAAAGTTGGAAGCAAGTGGAAGGGTGCTTTAAACTGCTTTTCACTTTTTCTATTACACAAAAAGTACTTATTTTACCAAACACTACCAACTTTTACTTTTTCAGAATCACTTTTTCCTCAAACACTACCAACTTTTACTATTAATCATTTTTCCCCAAATCACTTTAAAAAATCACTTTTTTAAAGTTGAAGCAATTGCAAACACTCTCTTAGTCCAGTGTCATACTGAAATCATTCCAAGAGGCCTGACGGGAACCGCCGTCAGGCCGAGGCCATTTGGGGACCTTCCCGGTGGAATTTTTTGATGAAATTTTTTGAGCATGTTCCTCATCAAGTCTAATTTATCCATACCAAATTTCAGCAAAAAATTCAATCGGGAAGACAGTCAAAAAAAATCCCTACTAAAACTGTGCATTATTTATATATAAACTGCGCAGTTTTAGTAGGGAATTTTTTTGACTGCCTTCCCGATTGAATTTTTAGCTGAAATTTGGTATGCATAAACTAGACGGGATGAGGAACATGCTCAAAAATTTTCATCAAAAAATTCCACCGGAAAGGGCCTCTGATGGCCTCGGCCTGACGGCGGTTTCCGTCAGGCCGGCCTGACAGGATCATTTAAAATACATTGAGAAAAAACAGAGATAAACTTTGGTCAATCGTTTTAACTAATAAGTCAAAGATGTCAAACTAAAGAGGAACGAGTAGTATATTACTATACGGAGTAAAAAGGTGTGAAATTAGAAAGAGTAGAGAATTGTAGAAATAACTCAATAAGAAGATGATCGAGTAAGAAAAGAGAAAAACAAAAATTGAAAAAATATGAAATAAAATACAGAGTATAACATGGTAGAGTTAAAGTTTTCCTAGATTAAAATTGAAACATCCTTTTTAAAATTGAAATAGTATAGTAGAATATTATTCCGAGAAATATTATAGCTCCTAGATAGTAGTGTATTATTACTATAATTGTTACTACGTATATATATTACTCCGTACTATTTAAATTATTAATAATAAATATTGTTGTTGGGATTGATACATTAATGTAGTACCCCTATATATATTAAATACATTATTTGCTTGTTCCTTTTTATTATTACTGATACTCACATAGTCACATGTTAATGAATTATATGTAGTAATTTGTTATTCATATAGTTATCGAGTTGGTTAGTCTGTTATGTTTAAGTTCGTGACTTCGGTCTCATTTAGTCTGGTCTGGCATGAGTTAATCTGGTTTGATCTATATATAGTTCAAAAAATTAGAAAAAAAATTTATTTTGGAATTACATTTTATAAGGTAATTTGTTTAAAAAACATTTTTATCATTACAAAATTCTCATAAAGTCATACTAGATCATGAGCACTCTTTAAATAAAAAATAGTAACTTCACATTAGTGTTAAGAAGAAGAACATTAGAATTAAAGAAAAACCTTCTGTACTAAATAGATTTCATAAATACTGTTATTTGTCTAAAATCCTTTTTAGTCTAACATGAATCATTTTTGTTCTCCAATTTTGAATAATTTATACGTAGTACTCCATATAATTTTTGGTTTTATTTTTCAAAGTTAGATAGGATTTAAATCTAGTATTTAAGTATATATGTTTTAAACTTTTAATTGCTAACAATAGTTGAAATATTTAACATGAAAATTAACTTTACCCTCAGCCAACCTCCTACACCATTTTTACATTTACAGACGGAAGAAATAATTAGAAGTTAAAAATAATAAGAAATTCAAAAAATACTATTGTACATAAATATGGTATAATTTATGTGGTTTGTAGGAGGATTTGGTACTTTTGTTAATGCTACAAATAATAATGGTCAGTTTATTATTATCAATAATAATTTATTAACCTCATGTTTTGGATTGATTATTAATGAGAAAAAGTAACGTTCAAAATGTTTATTTGTGTGTGTGATGTTGAAGAAGTTAGACATATTTAGCCTTTTCTTTATCATGTATTAATTTTATTTGTTTTATTAATAAAATTATTACAAATATAATCTTTTATAAAGTACTTCAGTACATCTTCAAACAAAATGTAGCTGCCACAGCTGTTATTAGTCTTGCCAATGAGGCTCCTATAAAAGTTTGAATTACTCCCTTTATATAATCCCAAGTATTTAATATGATAGACAATCTCATTAATTGTTAAACTTTCCGATTTCAAGTCTAATTATGGAATTCATGACTAGTTGATGGTGTTAGTTGATGATGCCGGAGGAGAGTGGCCAGTAATAGGGCATGCGCCATGGAATGGCTGCAATCTTGCTGATTTTGTGATGCCTTTCTTTCTGTTTATTGTGGGAATGGCCGTTGCACTCTCTCTCAAGGTTTGACCTCTTTATTTCATTAAATTTCCCTTGTAAAACTGAGTAAACTGAGATAAATTTAGTTTTGCTGCACTGGATATTTTGCCTTCTAATTAATTAACTAATAACTAATATGCAGAGAATACCAAAAAAAATTATGGCTATCAAGAAAGTGATCTTAAGAACACTCAAGCTTGTTTTTTGGGGACTTCTATTACAAGGTTGGTTAGTGCTTTGTGTCTAGTAAAGTGTTTACAAGTTTGTCCTATATCAGTTGAATATGACATAACAACACAACATATAAAACATGCAAGTTACTTCTCATATCAACTTGACTTAGGTGGAACTTCAAATCTTAATAGAAAGCAAATAATCCCTTTTATTTATTTTCTATAACCGTGAAGGAGGATATTCACATGCACCAGACAAGTTAACATATGGTGTGGACTTGAAAAAGATTAGATGGTGTGGCATTCTCCAGGTAGTGTTATTTGATTTGTGTTTTTCGATTTCTATTTGTCTCTTAGTGACTAATGAGGCTTCTTTTAATTCTTCCATTTCTCTAGAGGATTGCTCTTGCTTATTTCATGGCGGCGATGATAGAGATCTCGATGCAAAAAAGGCAAGCTAGGGTTCTATCGCAGGGACCATTCTCCATATTTAAGCTATACTACCGACATTGGTGAGTGTCACTGTGCAGTATCACTGGTATTGCTAATTCTTGTTTAAGTCGTGGGAACTAAATTGGGTAAAAATGTACATGAGTCAAACTACATTGAAAGATTGAATCTAATAGATTATGGGGGGTGTTTGGTAAATGGCGTTTCATCCAAAAAATGGCGGTTCGACCTCTTTTATCGTTTTCAATAAGGAAAAACATTGTTTGGTAAATAGCTGTGAGGCACTAGCATTTTTGGACGAAACCGCTGAAATCAAAATGCCACAAATTTGAGAGTTTTGGGTTAGCGTTTTGAAATATGGCGTTTTCCAAACAACTAAATTACAAAACATCTTCTGACAACCCGCCAACTTATTCCACTAGTCAAACCCGCTGAATGAATCCGCTCTAAACAACCCGCTAACATAATCTGCTATTCGCTCACCGCTAACCGCTAAATGCCAAACACACCGTATGTAATACTACGTAACATTGAAGACAATATAAACACATATGTTTTGCTCTAGTATTTCAACGTAAGACTCGCTCAACACATTGCGACTTTTAGAACTATGTTTATGTAGTCCATCATCTGCAGGGCCATTGGAGGTTGCATTTTAGTAGTTTACATGGCCACATTGTATGGAACATATGTTCCTGACTGGCAATTCGTTGTGAAAAATACAAACAGTCCTGACTTTGGAAAGGTCTTAACTGTAAGTGTCTCCTTTGGAAAAAAGAAATCCCCTATTTAAATGATTCTTTTTGTTCTTCCACTAACAATAAGGTCTTTGGTTTTCACTTTCTAGGTATCTTGCAATGTAAGAGGGAAACTGGATCCTCCTTGTAATGCAGTGGGTTATATTGACAGACAAGTTCTAGGAATCAATCATATGTACCCTCATCCAGCTTGGAAGAGATCTAAGGTCAATTTCTTCTCCTTATTTTTTCCGCCCGAATCTTATCACCTTCAAAGTCTTATGTGAAGCATTGCAGGCCTGCACGAAGAACTCTCCGCATGAGGGACCGTTCAGAAATGATGCTCCGTCTTGGTGTTGGGCTCCTTTTGATCCAGAAGGAATACTGAGGTAGGCAATAGGATGTGCAGCTACGTCGTCTATTTTTAATGAATGTGCTCTTTTTGAATTTTAGTCAAATTGCATGGCTCATTCGAGTTTATTGGTGTGTGATGATAGATACAGTATTATGATTTGGATCTCCATCCCAAACGGTCAATTCAATAGGAAACACCACCTTATTAGTCTGTTTGTATTTTTAAAATATATTTCCTGTCACCCCTATCACTTAACATGATCTACACCGTAGCTGTTCAGTCATTCCACACAGGAAACATATATATATATATACACACACACACACATGTATCCAGTATCCTCACTTACATATAAGGTTTTAGCTTACTGCTCCTATTACATTGATATTTTAGAATGAAACCACAAATGTTTATAGAGTATGAGAGAATATTAAGCCCACAAGAGTAATCTGATGCTGATAAGCCCAAGATTTGAACTATCAAGTACAATGGTTAAATCATTTCTCCTAGTCTTAGGTGAGATAATCAAAATGCATCTGTGTGGCTTCTCATGTATGGTGATGAATGCAGCTCAATTTCTGCCATCCTCTCCGCTATTATTGGAGTTCATTTTGGACATGTTCTTATCCACTTGAAGGTTAGATCAATGGTTTCCATGTATGTACTTTGTTTCCATTTTATCTTCACTATGATCTTCATCTTGATTTAACTGTCAGGATCACTCTTCTCGACTTGTGCATTGGATTGTCACGGGACTTGTACTTCTGATTTTAGGAATCATCCTTCACTTTATAGATGGTATAACCCATATACCACCTTTGTTTACTTTTTACTCACTCAAAGTATGTTCTTTCCCAAAAATTTAAGCGTAACATTACAGGCTTGTATGGATAATGAATTGTGTATAAAAAGTACATAAAAAAGAAAAATACTTGAGCAAAGATGAAAAATAAGGATATTTATAATTGGAAAGTGCAATTAATAATAAACTTCCAAAAAAATGAAATTAGAGCAAGTAAAAAGGAACAGGGTGGTAATGTTTAAAGCTCTAAAGCATTTAGATTGTGGTTTTTATTTTTCACACTTTGCCCTTATCTTTGATTGCAGCAATTCCTCTAAATAAGCAATTGTACACTTTCAGCTATGTGTGTGTGACATCAGGTGCAGCTGCATTAGTATTTTCAGTACTGTACATTTTGGTAAGGATTGTTAGTCATCTCGCATTGACCAAATATAAAGATACAAACTCATGTGTAAGGTCTTGGGCAACTCCTCTCTATAAGGATTAACCATTTAACCCTTAAAGATGAAATCTCCAAGTCTTACCAAAAACATATTCTCTTCTCTTCAAAAATGTGATTTCTGCTGTAAATTTGTTAAGATCTAATCTAAAGTGTTATGATCCGGCCTGATCTAAATGTTTCAAATGTTGTCCAACTTTTTTGTCCGGTCTAGCACCATCTGAAATCTTTCTGGCCTTAATTTTTCTAGACTGGTATATAAATAAAATAGGAATAAATAATAAGTTAGAAAATAAGGTGACGAAACCCATCTAAGGCATTAAAGTCAAGATACATCATACATAGTTCATAGTTTTTATTTTGAAAGAAATATAATTTATTAATGAAATCATACATAGTTCATAGTTAAGATTATTGGAAAACTACTATAATTTCCTCTGCAGGTTGACGTTAACAACCTCAGATCTCTGTTTCTGCCACTGGAGTGGATTGGGAAGAACGCGATGCTCGTTTACGTTATGGCAGCTGAAGGGATTCTTGCGGGTTTCATCAACGGTTGGTACTACGATGATCCTCACAACACTCTGGTATGAATGTGCTGTACTCTCTCCCTTTTCATGATTGGAGATACATGTGATGATTGATGTGAAGCTCTCTCTGATCTCATTAGACATGTTTTTCCTTATTAAGTGAACTTTTGTTTCCAGGTATATTGGATCAAAAAACATGTCTTTGTAGGAGTTTGGCATTCAAGAAGAGTGGGAATTCTGATGTATGTAATATTTGGTGAGATATTGTTCTGGGCTGTCATTGCTGGGGTGTTTCATTGGCTAGGCATTTACTGGACACTTTAGGTATCAAGAAATCCTATATCAAATGCTTAGAGTGCTGCTGCCTAATCAAGGCCCTACCTTTTTGCATGGTTTCCAATCTCTCTCTCTATGTGTGTGTGTGTATTGTAACTAGTATTCTACCCGTGCGATGCACGGGACAATAATAAAGTTTCCAAAATTAAGAAGAAATTTGTTAATGTAAACTTTTGTGATATAAGCATTCATTTTGTCAAATATATTGTGTGGATGAAATGTTTTACGTTTTCTACGTCCTTAAGCTTCTTAGGGACTGAAAGGTTTAAAAACACCAAATAATGTCTGCATGAGAATATTCTTACGCATTCTGTGGCCTTAAATCCTAGTGTCACATCTTAATATTTTAAATAATTATATATACTTAGTCCATATGATATACAAATATTATATCGATCAAAACCTCTTGAAAGTCTTTGATAGTGGTGCAAATTTCATCGGTGTTATAGCTAGAAACACTTTAGATGAAGATACAATAACATCGCGCCTAACGGCAAAAAACGTGTAATTCACCTCACATGGCATGGTACGTTTTGTTTTTCAACATATATGGGAAAATGTGGCCATTCAAATTAATTTGCAACATCGTATTTGATATTTTAAAATAGGGGAAATGTGCAGATATAGCCCTGAAATATATGTGGAGGTACAAATATATATCTAAACTTCTAAATGGTGCAAAAATACCTCTAGTATCTTTACCCATGCCGTGCACGGAATAAAACGATTTGACTATAGTTTTACTATATATGTATGTGTGCGTCAGTGGCGGATCTTGCAATCAAATATATGGTGTTCAAAATTATTTTATCCATTACACATTAATATTGTTTGGCCCACGAATTGAGCAATGTAACTTTTCCAACATTAAAATCCCAAAAATAAGGGTAAGAGTAAGAAATATTACATAAAAATCAATATATAAATTATTACTTCAATTTTATATGTGTATTTTTACATTTTATTTTCAAAAATTTGAGCGTTCACGTGAACACCCTTGAACAAAAGAGATCAGCCCCTGGTGTGCGTGCACCAACATATGTATAAGTTATGAGAACTAACGGAAAGTAACTTGTTAAAATATAAAATAAAGATGCCCCATATTTAGGAATGAAAATTGATACTCCCTCCATTTCGATTTGTTTAACATAGTTTGACTTGTCAAGAATTAAGGAATTTTTTTTACTGAGGGCGTAAATTTGACTGTTTTGACACTGTTTGAACATTGTTTGACACTGTTTTGGTAAATATTTGTTTACCGAATAAGTACAGAAATAAGGAAGTGTCACATCCATTTTGAAACATCCAAAAAAGGAAAGTGTCTCAAACAAAGTTAAACAGATGGAGTATCAATTTTATGACCAAATCGTACTATATTAAAGGTTCTCATTTTTCTTTCTTGGTTGTCCAGTTGTCCTAGTAAAGGTTCTCATTTTTATTTAAGGAAAAATAATTAGCACTTTTTAATGATAATTTAGTTATCAAACATTTAAAATAATACATCTTCAACACCACAATTATATTCAATGGCCCTATTATATTATATACTCATCAAAACTATTTCTCAAAATATAGTATATTACACTTTACACCAACTTTTACCAAATCCCCAACATCATTTTGAGGCAATGGAGTGTCATTACAACGGCTAAATCGGCTATTCAATGTGGTAATATAAAGGTTCTCAATTTCCTTTTCTGTTGTCCTAGTAAAGGTTCCCATTTTTATTTTATGAAATAATTAGCACTTTTTAATGATAATTTGATTATCGAATATAAAAAATAATACATCATTAACACCATATTTATATTCAATGACCTATTATACTACGTATTATATATTCATCAAAACTATACATTTCTCAGAATATACTTGAATTATCGGTTAAGAAAAATAAGGACTAATATCTCCAAAAAATGCTGACTACCCCTATTTTTAGATAAATAAATTACAAAAGTGTGTAGTTAGTTTTGAAAAAAAAATAAGCCACTGATGAAATTTAATTGATAAAAATAGGCATGGAGCATTTTCTTGACAATACCCATTTGTAGATGAATAAGTTACAAAAGTGCATAGTTTGTTTTCAATAAAACTATAATTTGAATGAAATTTAATGGATAAAATTAGGCATTGAGCATTTTTTTTGCTTAGGTAAAGATAGTTGAAAAGATTAATTACATTTAGATGCAATCGAAAGTTATTAAAAATTGCTCTTTTATCATTAGAAAATATAATCTGGAAAATGTTTAGATAATTAGTTAAAAATGTTCAATTCATTAGAAAATATAGACTCCAAAAACGTTTAAGTAATTATTAAATTGGTGTACGTTAAATACTACATAGTATTTATTAATTCTAAGTGAGCTCGTAATTAAAATTAAGTATGAAGTTAGTAGGGAATAAGAAGATAAATAAATTAGTAGTACATGAGAAGCTTAAAAGTTACAACTAATTACTAATTGTGATGAGTCTAGTAAAACTGTGTTAACTTCATAATTTGTGTTTGAGTGATTTTTTTAAAGAGTCCAGTGAAATTGTGTACGTTTAAGTAAAACTATGTTAAACTATGTTAGAGTCAAACTGTGTTTTCACTTGTAAATCTCTTGTAAAGATGACTAAGGTGAAATTTTGTGATCTGATCTAATCTGATTTGTTTAAAGTTTAGTGTGTTCTAATTTGATCTGAGCGGGTCTACTCTGGTATATATTTGTTATCTGTGTATTTTACAACTGTCAAAATCTAGCATGACTTGATCTAGAATGTTATGGTCTGACTTGATCTGAAACTGAAACTAATTCAATTAAAAACTTCCTAAATAAATATTCAAAAAGGTGGGAGGATATAAAAGATTTCTATGAAATAATTTTTGAAAGAATAAGGAGTATTGATTATCCTTTGTAAAACAATTATAATGGTTGAAATTCCAGTTAAATATACGTTATTTAGATTTAGTATAATTATTTCAATTTAACTTTTGATTGTGAATTGAACTAATTTAGTTTAACTCTTATTTCAATTTATTAGTTATGATTATAAACTGAACTGAATAGTTCTAGATGAACTATATCTACTTGGTAAAATAGTCTAACTTTTATTTTAACATATTTGAATATGTAACTTACCAGTTACCTAGAAAGGTATGCATGAAGTTTAATGGATAAAAAGAGGTATTGAGAAAGTATTAAATGAAGATTTGTAATATATATACCGCAATTAGTGTTTTGAGTATTTAATTAAGGTCTCAATGAATCATATGATTTTGATTCTTTTATCAAAACGTGACTAATTTGAAGAGATGTCTCTGCTAGTGTTATAGTCAGTGTAATGTAAATTTTGAATATAATTATTATAGATATCATTACATTTAGAGATTTTTTCATACATAATGATGTTTTTACTTGGACTATAATTTGTCTCAGACCATACCAGACTTGGATAGTTATAAAAATATAAAGAAACCAGATCAGACCAGATCAACAAATAACAGTCCAAGTAAAAATATCCTAAGTTAACATAAAAATATACTACCTAATACTACATAGAAATTTTAAGCTTAAACTAGTATAGTACCCGTGCATACGCACGGGATAGAACGGTTGGTGCATATATTTTTTACTCATGATCTAATTAAATATTAAAATAGAAACAATTTTTTAGGATTCTACATTTTCGAAAAAAATTGTATTTCAATCAGCTAATACCTTAAAATATATATTCAATGAAGAGTATATTAGGAAAAATTAATTGACACTACTCATTAGAATTTGCTGCTTATTCATTTCCATGATTAGATTAATTTTAAAATTAAATAATAATTCTAAAAAAGTGAGTACAATAAATATTAAAATCAATGAATATTAGTTAAATAATAACTCCATTCATTAGTAAATTCATGCTAACATATGTGAGAGAAAATTATTCTGTTCAATTCTTAGTTGGCTTATCTTGTTATATCTAAAACAATTACATATGAGAAAAAAATCTTTCACTCAATTGTTAGCCTTATTATCTTACCTTATACCTAAAAGCACTATGTGTGAGAGAAACAAATATGTTCTTTAATTGTTAGCAAACTTATCTAATACTACAAAGAACTACATATATGATGATATCATCGCTCAATTGTTAGCAACTTTATCTTCTTATAACTAAAAGCACTATATATGAGAGAGAAAATTTTCACTTAATTATTAGCAAGCAAGCGTATCTTGTCATATCTAAATAGACTACATATGAGAGAGAATGTTTTCTTGTTCAATTATTAGTCGACTTATGTTATACCTAAAAGCACTACATATGGAAGGGTAAATTTTCACGCTCAACGGTTAGCTGGATTATCTTATATACAGAGTACTTAAGAACTACCGGCCGTCAGAGTGAAAGTTCTCTCACTCAATTGCTAGCAAGTTTATCTTCTTAGCTTCTTATGCCTAAAAATACTACATATGAGAGAGAAAGTTATCTTGCTCAATTGTTTATTCTTCTTATCTTATACTCAATGGTTAGCAAGTTTATCTTCTACTATGTAATACCTAAAAACACTACATATGAGCAATAAAATTCTCCCGCTCAATTCTCCTTCTCAATTGTTAGCAATCTTATCTTCTAATACCTAAACACACTACATATGAATGAAAAAATCTTCTGATCTCGCTCAATTATTAGTAAGCTTATCTTTTTTTATATCTAAAACTCTTACATATGAGAGAGAAAGTTCTCGAGCTCAATTGTTAGCTGGCTTACCTCATACCTAAAAATACTACATATGAGGGAGAGAAATTATTTCGTTCAATTGTTAGCTAGATTATTTTATACCTAAAAGAAATATATATGAGAGATAAAGTTCTTTTGCTCAATTGTTAGCAAGTTTATCTTCTAATAACTAAAAGTAGTACATATGAGATAGAAAATTCTCCCGCTCAATTGTTAGCCGGCTTGTCTTATACCCAAAAGCACTATATATGATACAAAAAATCCTCTCACTCAATTGTTAGTTGGATTATGTTATAGTTAAAATAACTGCTTGTTGAGAGAGAGAAATATCTTGTTCAATTGTTAAGACGATTTATACCTAAAAGCGCCACATATGAAAGAACAAATTTTTCCGCTCGATTGTTAGTTGACTTATATTACTATCTTACTGAAAAGCACTACAAATGAGAGACAAAGTTATCCTGCTCAAGTGTTAGCCAACTTATCTTATACCTAAAAACATTACATATGATAGAGAAATTTTGGCCGCTCAATTGTTAGTCGACTTATCTTATACTTAAAAACACTACAAATGAGAGAGAAACTTATTCCGCTCAGTTCTCATCCAACTTATCTT